CCCCCCCCCCCCCCCCCTTTTTTTTCTCTTTTAGGTTTGCAAACTAAGCTCCATTTGCTAGAGCTTTACATGAAGAGATGGATTCCACATACCACATAAATAATTCCTTGTAATTTTATCCATTGCCTTAATTAACCATTTATGAAGCTCGAAAAAGGATAAGAAATATAAATGTAGAGAGGTTAGTACCGAGTTAATTAGAGTCAAACGCCCTCTAATAGATAGTTGTTTTCTTTTTCACATGGATAATCGTCCTCCTAATCGCCTTCCTGAGCCCTCGTGAGTTACCTTTGTATTCAAACATTGTATTCTTATTACATTTTCAAAGTGTATTTTCCCCTAGAATTCCTACCAATAGGTAAAACTTGAGTCTCATATAAATAATTTGTGTTTGTTTTGATTGAAAGTTAATCGAGGAAAACGGAAGGAATTTGCTCTCCTGTCACCAAATTATTGTATTAGAAATCCTTTTCCCTCTCATACAAATTTTGCAGAGAAAGAACGAACTAGGCTACACGCTCAACTTTCCAACCAAAAATTTTTTGAAAATTGAAGGATTCTGAATTTAAAACACGCTAAGAAAATCTCAGTATGACAACAAGAATTATGCACGTTAGTAGTATCTTCTTTTTCTTTTTCTTTTTCTTTTGTTCCCCCTCTCTCATAACAACTGATCGGTATAATATACATTTGAAACCTCAACATATATATGTTTAAATTCTCCATTCAACGTAACAAGTAGTTTTTTTTAAAAGCATTTGAATTCACAACAAACACACGCTAGCTAACAACAAGATCAACACGACACTTGTACAACAACACCAGCTGTCCAGTAGACAATGATCAACGAATGCGACGGTATAAGGAGTACGACGACAAGATCACCAACAACACGAGAACAACGGAGGCGACAAGCGACAGACCGATCGAGCTCCCAACGTGTCGACAATACTTACCGAACTTGTCGCATATCTTCATCCAATTCACATGATCATTCCCCTTCAGACCGATGTACGCGACTCCGCCTGCTGCACCCGTGGATGCCGCCACGATCCCGGCCATCAACTGTGATTGTAAACGCTAATTTGTTAGTACGCTAATTTGTGGGGTTAAACTTATTGTCAATGTAGTTTCACTTTGGTAGGGATTCAGGTCTTCTCTACCACTAAAAAATAAAGCAGTGTAGAGGCCGCTACTGTATCACAACCATTAATTTGTTTAATGGATGGATGTGATTGTCTTTGAGTGTATCATAACCACCCAGACAAATCAGAAGACCGCTACTTTTTTTAGTGTAGATGATCCAAATTCGTTTGGCAGGTAGACTTTCTATGTTCATTTTGACACTTTTTTCCTAGATAAAATTTTGGCAGATATTGCCCTCGGTGAAATTAGTGAGCCTATCTAGTTATTATTAGGGGTTGTTTGGTTGAGTGGTTTTATAGAAAACTTTATAGATAACGGCTGATAGTGGTAGTTTTATAAATAAAAAATTTCTGGAGATTTCTATAAACTGTGTTTGGTTCAAAAAAAAATTACAGAAAAGTTTTCTATAAAGTACAGAAAAGTACACTATTTTATAGAAATTAATTTTTGTTCAAAATGGACAAAAATCACCTAGAAATCTGACGCATATATTAAAAAAATAATTAAGTACATCAGTACCCTTCTCATGTGATTTCCCATGGACAATGTTAGTAAGCTAGTTTCTATAAAATGACATCCAACCAAACAAAAGAAAAAGAAAACAACATATTTTCTGTAAAATTAGAAACTTTTTCATACTTTGAACCAAACAAAGAAACAACAAAAAATAAGAAATATGGTACTCTTTTGAGTTCTATAAAATTTTCCTACAAATTTTATAGAAATATAAGGAAATCAAATTTTGAGTACTTTTCTTTTTCCTTTTTTTATAGAAATTAAACCAAACATCCCCTATTAAAAGAGTAAAAGTGAAGAGAAATCCATGGGGGGGCCATCTATTAAAATGAAACTACAAGATCTATGCTCAATTAATTATATTAACTCTTTTCCTATAAGAGAGGAGATTATTTTCCGTTGCAGATAGAGAAATCTACCGTATCGAAGATGATGAGGAGGAAGAGGAGGCCCGGAGACGGAGAAGGGTTGGAGATGACGGAGGCGGATGCGAAAATGGAGATTAAACCGTAGAAGATCGTGACAGCAAGGGCGGAGACTTGATATCTGAGATAAAAAATTTAATCCAAAAAAGCGTACGTTAGAAAAAAAATCATAATATATGTTATAATTACTGCATATATATACTAAATTAAAAAACTCTGGCCTCAGACAATAATTTATGAGATTTATATTTATCAAAAAGTTAAATATATGCGATATATATATATATATATGATAGGAGAATTTTCGTTGCATGCTACGAGAAAAAGGTTTTCAACATTCTCGACACACATGCATTTTGAAAAAAAATAAAAATAAATATGAGGAGTATTATTTATATCTTATCCCTTCCGGTCTCATATTGCCTCCTAAACTAGTAAGTTTATCCATGCTTACCTTCAGAACTATAACTTTTTAATTCATAGTTATCATTTTTTTAATTACTTTGTGGGTTTTTTAATTTATTATGGGAGGAAAATGATAGTTCAGGGAATAAAATGTGACTGAAAATACATTAACCATATATATATCATGAGA